GAATCTGTTATACATGAGGCAAGTTCTGAGTTAATGATACAAGTTATCATCATGCAAGTTCAATCCTTACTCAAATATGAAAATATGTTATGTCAAGCTATGCCATGTTATAAGCTGAGTTCTTACCTATAGTGATGCAATACTATTTTACATGTCTTACAACTGAAGTTTTGAACTGTAATCGTTTTTGTTTTATACTAGACTATTTATCATTTCTTAAGCTTTATGCACACAACTAACTTATTCTTACCATACACCAGGACATATGGTTTTATGCAACATTATTTCCTAAGTTGTCTTGCACACTATACTAGTTTTCAACACCTAAATCTTCTTAAAACTCTTTTATAGTCTTTTGATATCTAAGGTAGAACCTCTGCACATTACAAGCTTAAGGTAGAATATCTAACCTCTTCAAATTAGTTTCAAAATCTTCCTTATATTAATTTCAAAACCTTCCAATGGAGTTCCAGAACCTATATCTAAATGCATTCATGTGAGTGCTTCAGTTAGTCATAGTTAGCAATTGCTGAGGTAGGAGCATGACAGTTACACCTTCTAAGAGGATTGTGAAATTACTAAAAGAATCCCCATCTCTTCATTGTTCCCTTTATAACCCTGGAACATATAGAGAAGTCTATCATACTCTTATTGGAGTGCCTTTAAGGCTCCTCAAGGACTATCAAATTAATGCTCCTCTCAAGAACACCAATATAATGCTTCCACCAAATAGGTGCACCAATTGGTGCATTGAAAAAAGCCATAGGAGGAGAGGATAGAGTTTTTTTGTTGTTTTATTTAGTTCCAAAGAGTGTAAAGGTAATTTAAAAATATAATTATGTTTTCCATTAACAAAGTAAAAGCAGCATACTACAACTAATTGGGCAAATTACAAGGAGTTTTATCAAATTGGTCCAGATCACAAGGAGTGAAATGCATTTTACCGTAGAATATATTTTGTACCATCAAAAAAGTTAGCAGCCAATAATAGGAAGGCAAAAATCCACCACTATGATAGCATAGTGAATGGCGAAGCAGCCACTATTGACAAAACAGTGGCTTTTAAAAAAATTAATAAATAAAAATAATAGACCTAATGAGAAAAACAATAAGAGGGAATGCAGATTAAGTACTGATTTTGACCAGCAAATAACAATATTAAAACTTCAAGAAATCATATACTAATTATCAAAAATTGAGAATTTTACTTATCTGCTCTTTTTTTTTTTTTTAGGTGGAAAAAAGAGATCATTATATTAAAATATAGGAGATTCAATACAAAACCAGAACATCACAAATAAAAATATGAACAGAAACATTGAACTAGACATAGAAAACACCAAACAAAAAAGATGACAACAAGCAACTTGATGAAAACATAAACCTTCCTGGAAGCACAATTTGCAGCCACAAAGGAAATTAAGAGGAAGAAGGTAAAGGCATGACTCAAAGTCACAGTCGGGCACCTGCTCTTTTTTTTTTTTTTCTTTTTCAATTTTGTGAATAGCAACAATGGAAGCACATACTCATCGGTATTACACTTTCTTTTCCATCTTTTTTTCAAATTTTTTACTTAACATCCTGATCATGCTCACTATACATGACCCAGCAACATAATTTAAAAATAAAAAATATGAGAAGGTAACAAGAAAGCCAAGAAGTATGCGGGTAGCTTGAGAAACTGTAATTAAGAGGGAGAAGAAGATCTAAGGGGACAGGGGAGAAGAAGAGGGAGAGAAAGATCTGAGGAGATGGGAGAAGATAGAAGAAAAAGAAAAGATGCAGATGGATGAAGTACCCGAGCAAGGCATTGAAGGATAGAGTTGGAATTCTAGTCAATGATGTCAGGGGCTGGAGTTCTGATTGAGAGAGACAAGGAAGACATCGCTAAGGTTGAGGATTTAGGATTAAATTTGGGTTTATCTCCTTTTTTTTTTTAATAAAACCAAATAAAAAGAGAGATCTGCCCTTAAAAATAAATCCAACTGGCTGAACTAGGGTTATTTTGGTCTTTTAAAAGAATTTATAAAATAGCATTAATAGCGGCTGCCATCCTCTATGTGGATAGCAGCTGCTATGGCAAATCCACTACACTATGAGAGTTATCATAGCAATACAGCTCCTAGGCACTACACCATGGCCACTATAGCACCACAATCGACAACATTGTGCCCCATTTAGTGTTTATTTATAAGTAAATAGAAAACAGAATGTGCTAGTATCTGAATCAATGTGTACTGTCCTATAGAATCTACATGAAAAACTAACATAATACACTGCAAGCAAGTGATACCTTAATCACAGACATCAAACCAGTCTTGAACTGAAGCACACCCCTACCATCACTACTTGGGTCCAAATTTTGCGCCATACTGTAGGCCTGCTCACAAACTAAAGTTGAAACAATAAAGTTAGATAAATGTGGACAACACTTCAATGATTGTTACAAAATAAAAATAAGAAAGCCAATATGCCTTAACCATCCATTTTTTGGGTAATTTAAGATAAGTCTAAAACCATAAAACAAGTAAGAAACAACCTATGTCCACCTTTTACACTAATCTTTGTAAGTAAGTGCATGATCCAATTGCCACAAAGACATCATGAAACAAATTTAGAAAACAAAAGCCTGCACGTGGCAGATCCATTACCACAGATTCAAAACAGAAAAATGAAAAATGAGAATGCAGCAAGTCCGCTACCAAATTATTAGACCAACTATGTAACATGGGGGCGAATCCAAGGAGTTGTTCAACTCAGATCACAACTCAAAATGAACGTTGTGATGAGACATGAACATTCCCCATGATGCAGTCCCCTTTGATTCATTCCAGGTATCAGTTTGGGAAACACTAAAGCAATTACCTTTGCAGATCCAAACCCTTAAATGATTCAGTGTGTAAAAGGTTGTCTAACTATTATCACAATCAACTCGGTTATCTTTCATTTACCTCTGTATTTCTTCTCTATTTAAAAGATTTCTAAAAGGGAGATTAGATGCATGAAAAAAAAAAATTTTCAAAGTATCATGGTTTTGGTGGGAGTTGGTTTATAGAAATAAAGCCAAGGGGATAAGGTATAAAAGATAAGTGGAAGTGGTGCATACTAACAGAAAAAACAACTTTGTGGAGAAACATGTTAGCAGAAAAATATGGGCAAAGAGGTAGTGAGGTGTGGGATGAAGGTGAAAAATTGCAATTGAAATATCCTGGGCTGTACCTGATGGCAGAAAATAGGGAGTGTAAAGTAGAGGAGACAGTAGTTTGGGATGAAAATAATTGGGAATGGAAACCTAGGGGATCTTTTAGAAAGGAATAGCCTTTGGGCACAAGCTCATCGTGTTAAGGGCAGGTGGCTTAAAATGGAAACAATTTTGTAACCTATATAGTGAAAAATGCTTATGCAATATTGACTGAGCATGATTCTCATGTTGGTGATTCTTTTGTAGGACATTTAAAATCTGTACTTTTTCTGTGGAAACTACTACAAAATAAAATTCCCACAAGAGTCAATCTTAAAAGAAGAATTGGGCTTGAACCTAATATAATCTCGTGCATTTTCTTCCACAACCATGATGAAGACTCTAACCATTTGTTCACAAGATGCAGGATGGTCACCAAGCTTTGGTATACTGTTTTAAACTAGTGAGGTGCTGATCTTGTTCTCCATAATACTTGCAAGGAAACCTTTTTCCATCACATAGGAGCAGGGAGAACATGGTATTTGGATGTCAAATTGGATCTGTTTTTTTTGGAAAATTGGAGTAGAAATAATGCTACTTTTAAGGGAGAATCTGTGGAGGTGTCAAGTATGGCTGAAAGGTGCGCTCAAAACTCCTTTAGGATTGAAGGAAAGTGTGATGGTGTTGTCTTCTCATATTATAATTGACCTCATCACCCTAAAGACTGCACAAGCTAAATCCTTCGCTTTCAATAAATTTTTTGGTTTTTGGTATTGCAAACTGTACTTGAAACTTGCTTTCTTTTGGTTGATTTGATCTATTAGTGCAATAAGGTTTGTGCTTTATAAGGTGATTAAGTGTACATACTGTTGTCATTGTTGGAGCACTCCTTGTACTCCAAAGGAAATATGTAATCTGATTACAAATGAAAATTTAAAATTAATTGTAATGAGGAACAGGAAGCTAAGGAAGAGTTTAGATTATTTAGGACTCTTAAGTGGTTATTCAAGAGTGGTTATCACTACTTTTCCTAGTTTTATTAGGATTAGGTCTTTTATTAAAAGTCATGTCTTAGAAGTCTTTTACCATATGGGAATTTTATCTGTTGAGAGTCTAAGTCAAAGTTGAACTAGGAATTTTAAGTTTCAAGTTACAAATTTAATTAGAATAAGAGTTCAACAAAGAGTCTCAGTCTTAGTAGTTTCTACGTAGTTTCTATATAAATTTAATTAGAATATATCAGAAATTTTGAGCAAGAATTTCTCCAGATTGTATAATGCAATATCGATTGTGAGTGACTAACCCTAAGTGTGATGTGACCAATGCAAGGCCTAAAGAAACCTAGGTGTACGTACTCCTAGTGTTCATAACACAGTTGATGATACCATTTCATAGACTTTCAGCCCAAATGGTCTCGCATCATCAATTAAGGAAACATCAATTTAAACCACTATTGATCTTCATATATACAACCTCTCATACAACCAACTTATATCTTTCTTTAGCACGATATGATTGGAATTTTATTTATTGGTAATATAAAAAGGCAAACAGATGCCATAGAATTGACTGGGACAGTAGAATTGGAAAAAGGAAAAAAGAAACTTTAGTAGCTAATTGCCGCAATTGTAAAGATGACTTCTTAAAATTTTGCAACTCTAGACACCAGGAGTGTCGGCAAGGATTGATTTAGCTCAAAATTTAAGAAGCAGGATCGTAAATCACAACAGATCTAAAACATATCAAGATTGACTCATAGAAGAAAACCGAACTAAATAATCAACGATTGTCACACTTCACTTTGGAGCTTGAGTTACATATTTGCATTTCTATATAAATACAGTAATATATAGTAGGGAAGTCAAGAAAACTTACGTATCCGCGCAACATGCGGATCCTCTGCCTGAATCTCATCGGCAGCCTGAAGGATGGCCTCGATGTTGGTGGCGCGACTGAGGGAGGGCGGCACAGCACCGGCAATGCCGCTTGGGGTGCGTCCGTGGCCTTGACCCGCAGTCCTCAATTGCTCTCTCTTCAAGGTGGCTCTGACCAGCCTCTCCCAGTTCTGCGAAACCCCAACCATGGTACCAATTTTAGAATTCGAGCTTGGAATCTCCTAAACTTTTATCCCAGAGGAAGGAGAGAAAAAAATCTAAAACACATGGAAGATATGGGGCAAAACCGCAGACCCAGACTCAGACCGAGTTGAGTACGTCGACTCGGTGGCGGAGCCGGATCTATGGCTGTTTTCTTTTTGGCCAAATATTTTCGGAGGGATTTGTTTTCCGGAATGGATTTGAATTAGGATTGCTTTCTGAAGAAAGGTTTGACAGGCTTAACGCGGAAAACTTCTAACGCGGAGAGGATGAAGGAAGAAGGAAGGGCGAAGGGTTTCAAACACCGCAGACTGGCACATGCTATTGGCTAAAGTACCTTAACCCCTCAGCTTAATAAATTTGAAAGTTTTAACCCTCCCCTCACACTATAAAGTTTTAGCCCTAAACCTAAAAATACAAAGATTTTAACCCTTAGATTAATACAATTATTAATTCTTCATTAAAGTGGGAATAAAATATTTATAAGATTAGTTTTAAAAATTAAAAATATAATAATTTAGATTTCAAAGTTTAAAAATTAAAAAAATTATTAAATTAAAAATAATAAGCGGATGTTTTTGCTACAGACATAAAACTAATATTCAATATCTATTATAAATCAAGTAATTAACTCAATTTGAGGAAGAAATTTTAACTAAAATTAAAAAAAAAATTTCTCATCTGAGTTAAGATAAAAAAGTCTAAAAGACTAAAAGAATATAATTAATTTTTTTTTTAATCTCAATTAGATTTATTTCTTTAAATTAAGCTAATCAAATTGTAAATATCTAATACAAGTGAAGTCCTTGCCCCGCTACGCGGGCATATTAACGTCTTGAGCATTAAGTTTTAAAATGATAATAATTTACGCAATTATTTTAAAAATGCTTTAATAATTTACACAATTTTTTATATTAATTATTAATATATCTTTTACGTATTAACATTTTAAACAGTATTGTGTGAAGTACTTGTAGGTCAATTTAAATAAAAAGGCATGAACATAATTAAAGTGTAAATTACAAAATAAAATAAGAGTAAAATAATTTTAGAATTTATAAGTGTAATTCATACGATAACATTAACTATAACAGTAATTTAATTGATCATGACTCTGTTTGGTAAAATTGAAAGTGTTGTAATACTGATAATGTTATAGTCATTATATGTTTGATATGCTAGATTCACTCGTATACTCAATTCTTTTCACCATCTTGTGCCCAATTTCACTAACCCTAATAATCTCATTGCTGTCGGACATCAAATCCTTTGATTTTAACTTTGCAATTGTAACAGTATATAAATAGA